GGGAGGCTGTGGCTCCTAAGGAGCAGAAGGAAAGGATGCACGAGAGTTAAAGGCACAGGAACATTTGATCACGGACAGCCCAGAAACGGAAGATGCATATTTACATAAGCTGCATCCAAGTGGATGGTGGGAGAGGACCGATGAGGGCAGCGGGCAGTGGCAGTCTCTAAGACCAGGTGGCAGGATTGCCCGGCCCACCCCAGTTTGCAGTGAACACCATCAGCCCAACACCGGGAGTCTCTCCAGCAGCACTCAGTGGAATAGTACAGGGACTGCCCAGCATCAGGGAGGAGGCCTGGGTGCTGGGGACACAAGAGGGTGAAGGTAGATGGTGAAGCCAGCAGGGAGGAGAGACACAGGAGTGGAAAGAAGAAGGGAGGACTGAGTTTCCAGAGGGTTCAGGAGGCAGAATCTGGGAGCTTCCAATAGGGGGTGCCTTCCTGCAGGGTCCAACCCTTCTGGATGTTGATAATGATGAGAATGAGGTTGGGGTGCCCAGGCTTCCCAGGACCATGGCTCCGTCCAGCCAGGAACAGCAGCCCAGGGTCAGCCTACGACTGACCAACTCCACAGATCCCCCGTTTGCCTGCAGAGTCTCAGCCAGATCCCTTTGGCCCATTAGCAGTAGAAACCTAGGGGCGCCTGGGTGGCTCAGTTGTTTAAGTGTCGACTTGGACTCAGGTCATGATCTCATGGCTCATGAGTTCAAGCCCCTCATCTGGCCCCTTTCCCACTTTATCTCTCTCAAAAATAAATTGAAAAAAAAAGAAACCTACTGGTGTCAGTTTAACTAAAAGAGGATTTAATGTGAGGAGTCAGGAAACTCTCACAGGGCCTGGAATTAGGGACACTAGGGGTGGGACAGCCAGCAAAGACTGTCAGTCTGTCCGCCCTTCTGTCTTATTTTCTGGATCACCCAGGTTCCCGTCTCTGTTTCTCTCTGTCCATCTGCCTCACCCCCCTCTTGTTATCTCCGCTTAACCACACGTCTGGCCAGCCCATGGCCCCCCCAGTTCCTCCCCAGCTCACACAGGCGGCTCTGATGAGGCTTTCATCCCACTGCCCCAAGTTCACATTCCTCAGCGGGAGAATACGAATGGCCAGCATAGGTCAGTGTCTGCCAATATCCATGCACTGGGCGGCTTGTGGTGAGATGGGGGGAGTACGGATACCACTGCCTGATGGGGACGAGTCTCTCAGAAGGGGAGCCACCGACTGCTATGCCTGGCTGGAGCTGCCAAGGATCATGGTCAGCGGTTGGTGGCAAGACACTGAGTAACAGTGGGTGAGGAAAGCCAGAGGCTTTGACGGCCGTGGCCATAAGGGCAGCTGAGCTCCCAAGGCTGAAGAGACCGGTGTGGACCACCAGTCCCCGGGGTGGGGGTAGGGTCACAGCCATGGTTGTGGGACCAAGGGGTGCACCCCTGCAGATGGGTGCCAGGCAGGACGGGTACAGACGGTTGCTGGAAAAGGCCTGGAGAAGCCTTAGTGCAAACGTACTAGCCTCTCAGTGTGGCGGGCCACGGACCGGGATGGGGGCAGCCTCAGAGCATCCGTGACTGTCACCGTGCTCCTTAAAAAGACCCCAGCCAAACCCTGTCTTCAAACAAAGGAAGGAGCAGATTGTGGAGGAGGCACGTGGTGTTTTTTAGGGAAAATGAACTGGCTGTACGACTCAGTGGAGCCAAGAGTGATGGACGAGGACATGCTCAAGCTGGCTGTGGGAGAACAGGGCCCACGGGACGAGGCTGGGCAGCTGGCCAGGCAGGAGGGCATCCTCTTCAAGGATGTGCTTTCACTGCGGCTGGACTTCCAAAGTGCGTATCCTGGGCTGGGCTGGGGCCACCAGGCGGCCCAGCGCCCCGCCCCTGGCTTCTCTGCCCCAGAACTCCACACAGAGTCCAGGATCATGGGACCCACATCAGCGGGCGGGCCCACGTGGGTTAGAAGGCATAGGAATGGCAGAGAGTGTTTGAAAAGTTAATACTGAGTATCATTCGCATTTGAATATCCACGGCACTGCTGATTCTGAATAATAGGGAAAAAGATAAAATTCTCCCACTCCAACTCTAAATGAACCCAAAGGCCCCGCTGCTTCCGTCACAGATCCCACATGGAATTCTTGGAGCGGGGTCCCTGGCAGGTGGAACCCAGAAGGGTGGTCCCACGCAGCCAGGAAGAAGCCATGGGGCGGAGGAGGATGTGCGCTGGGGGCAGGAAGCAGGAGAGGGGCCTCAGGAGCAGGAGGACAGCCTCGTGGGAAGACAGGTCCTTAGTGCCTCCGTGTCCCCTTCTGTAAAATGGGAAGATGATAGTCCATGTCTCAAGCTCTGGTTAGGAGGAGAAAGTGAGGTAACACACGCACAGTGTGTTCGCTGGAGAAGGCCAGCGGCTCAGGACAGAGGGGGTGCGACAGGAAGCGAGAGAGGCGGGCAGGGTGCTGCGTGTATTGTGCAGGTGGCTCCACAGCAGTGACCCGGGCTGCTTCACGTTCCTGCTCTGTCCTGGGGTTCTGTGCTGGCCTGCCGGGACATCCAGGAGACAACAGGGGAATTACTGAGGCCCTGCCTCAGCCAGTCTGGGGCGGACCACGGGGACACAGCAGTGGGCAAGGCAGGCACAGCCCTGGCCCAAGCCTCATGAACCCACAGGCCTCCCCAGAGCATGGCCTCCACGGCTGACCGCCCAGAGCAGGAAGGGACCCTGGGCCCGGCTACCTCAGCGGTGGGAGGGGCGAAGGGACTGCAGAATGGCTGTCACCAGAGGGGGCTTTAGCCTCCTTTAGCTCACCTCCTCCCCTTCCTAAGGTTCATTTTGCTGGTATTTATAAAATGCCTCTTATATGCTAGGTGCTGTTCTAGGCACTAGGGATTCAACTGTGCACAAAAAAGACAAAAACCCCTGTCCTCGTGGAACTGATGTCCAGGTGATAGGAAAATTAAAATAAAAATAGTGTATGTTAAAGGTAATATGTGCTATGGAGGAAATCAAGGGGAGGGAAAAAGGGGAGTTGGGGGTGGAGCACGGTGTTTTATTGGGTGGTCAGAGGCCTCATCATGAAGGTGACAGTTGAGCAAAGACTAGAAGGAAGTGAGGGAAGGAAGCACGCAGAGATCCAGGGAAAGCATTCCAGGTAGAGGGAACAGCCAGGGCAAAGGCCCTGAGGCAGGCACCCCTGTATGGAGACAGATCAGAGAGGTGAGGAGGTCAGCTAGTATCAGTCTTGGGGGCCAACAGGCAGTGTTTGGCTTTTATAGTGAGTGAGATGAGAGCCCCGGGAGGGTCCTGAGCAGAAGAGGGACAGGATGGGACTTAGCTTTTCACAAGATCCCACTGGCTGCGGGAGGATAGAGTGTGGCACCCCAGGGCCAGAGCAGAGAGACTGAGGTCCAGGAAACAATGAGCTGAGACCAAACCGGGGGTAGTGGAGGCAGATCCCATGTCTATGTTGAAGATTAAAATTGGACTTTTTGAGCAGTCCTGTCATTGCTAGTAACTCACTTAGAACTGGTGAATACATCCTGGTTTTTTGTTGCGTTGTTTTGGCTCTTCCACACGAACTGCTGATGCCTAAGGAAAAGGCAGCACATAGGTGTGCAAGGCAGAGCACCCAGAGTGCAGGAGCCACCCAGGGGAGCAGCGTCTCCGGAAAGTCAGTCATAGCCAAGAGCTGTCAGTCTAAGACCAGGGCCAGAAAAGGCTCCTGGAAAATCCAGACCAGGGTGGGTGGTATCTGAGGTCCTGGGTATCATTCTGGGAAATCTGGCCACAGCGAGCTGGGGAACAGACACCAGTCCCACTTGCCCCTGGGAATGGCAGAGGCAGGGCCCTGGGGGAGAGAGATGCGGTCCACCCATCCCCACCCCCACCTGGCTTGGGGAGGGCAGCCAAGAGGGGGCACCCGGCCTCCCCCAGGACCTCACAACCTCTGAATGAATGTTGAAACCACTGCCCCCGAATGTGTGGTTATTAAGTGTGCTTTTTTTTTTTAACCCCTTTTACTTCTATATTATTTCAGTTATTTTTTTTTTTTTTAATTTTTTTTCAACGTTTATTTTTTTGGGGGACAGAGAGAGACAGAGCATGAACAGGGGAGGGGCAGAGAGAGAGGGAGACACAGAATCGGAAACAGGCTCCAGGCTCCGAGCCATCAGCCCAGAGCCTGACGCAGGGCTCGAACTCACAGACCGCGAGATCGTGACCTGGCTGAAGTCGGACGCTTAACCGACTGCGCCACCCAGGCGCCGCTATTTCAGTTATTTTAATGAGCGTATTCTAATTTTATAAGTTTTAGAAATCCTTGCAAAATCAAATATAGAAAAAAAGGGGCATGTAAACGACAAAGCTATTATGGCTGCTAGAGGAAACTGGGGGCAGGTTTAGGCCTCCAGAATTTTATGTACGTAGCATCTCCTTATTTATACGTCAGCGTAGTTCAGAACTCTTCTGGCTGTCAGCAACAGAGACCGAACTCTGCGTGGCATCAGGAGCAAAAAGAATGAGTTGGCTGCGTGTCTATGAAGGTGGTCAGGAGCTTCAGTGACATCAGGAACCCGCCTCTGTCGTATGGGTGATTTATCCCACTCCCCATATAGGGACATTTGTGGGTCCCCCGATCTTTTTGCCTCTCATGTGCTTATAGGTATTTCTTTGGGCACACACGCAAGTGTGCCTTTGCAGACAGATTCCGAATAGAGGAATTGCAGGGTCAAAGGCGACAGGCATTAAATATTTCAGTTAACTCGGCCAAATTGCCCTCCAAAACGGCTGAACTAGTTGACATGCTCACCAATGTGCACGAGGGGTGGGTGGTGCAGGCATTCACCCTGCAGCCTCGTTCTATTTGTCACGCTGTGGCAGGAAGGACGCTGTTGGTGTCCTGTGTCCCGAGGTGTTACAGGCTCCCGAGAAGCCTCCTAGCTGGACATTAGAGGTGGCACGACTGAGTCCCATGCCCTGGGCAGGTCCAGCCCACACTCACGACGACCCTCCGTAGGCCTTTGAGTTCTGCTGCGTTCCTGGGTAGAAGCACTGATCACTGCCCGCTCTGCACTAATAGAGACTCTTGGGTGCTTAGCCCACATCCCCAGGTCGCATGCTCCAGGTCAGGGCGGTGGAGTTATGGGCCTTGTGAATGGTTAGTATTGGCCGTTGCAATTTTTTAGTGCACCTGCACTGAACTCTTAACCCTAACCCCAGGCTGGAAGCAGCCAAGGCGCCTCCTCCAATCGTTTCAGATATCCTCCGCATAGACAGCCTCTGGCAGTTTGAGAACTTGAGGAAGCTACAGCTGGACAACAACATCATCGAGAAGATCGAGGGCCTGGAGCGTCTGGTACACCTGGTCTGGCTGGGTAAGGGCCCCTCCTGCATGTGTGTCTGCCCTAATCAGAGGTGACGCACTGCCAGGGTCATTGCCTCGCAGGCAATTTTCCGCTGCCCGCCCGGAATTAGCCGGTGTGCAGTTGAAGGTCCGTCTACTGGGAACAAGAAAGCTGCTCTTTTTAAATTTTTTTTTTTCAACGTTTATTTATTTTTGGGACAGAGACAGAGCATGAACAGGGGAGGGGCAGAGAGAGAGGGAGACACAGAATCGGAAACAGGCTCCAGGCTCTGAGCCATCAGCCCAGAGCCTGATGCGGGGCTCGAACTCACAGACCGCGAGATCGTGACCTGGTTGAAGTCGGACGCTTAACCGACTGCGCCACCCAGGCGCCCCGAAAGCTGCTCTTTTTAAAAGCCTGGGGCCTTTGCTGTGCAGAGCCAGCAAAGATATGCTTGGACACACCAGGCCAGAATATTCTGACCCACCTGCCAAACCTCCCCATCTAGGAGAGAGTCAAGGGAGCAGTCTAGTTACTCTAGACCCAGGGTGACAGACAGCTGTGGGCCCTGCCAGTCAGGGGGGCCCAGATCAAGCCAGAAACAATTATCACAGCTGCTAGTGTCCCTTGAGCACGACTACCTGCTAAGCACGGGCCTGCCTGCTTTCCTTGTGAGGCCTTTTAATCCATCCATTTGCATCCCCATTGTAGAGATGAGCAAACTGAGGTCTCAGTGAGTAGTGAGGGGGCATCAGGCTCCCAGCTGAGCTCTGTCCGAGTGTAGAGCTCTGGCCCTCATTGCTAAGGCCTCAGGGGGTTTTGGTGAACGAGGAGAGGGGGCTGGCCGGAGAGCTCTTTGTATCGCTGTCTTATTTAGCCCCCACGGCAATCCTAAACGGTGAGTGTTACAATCCCAACGTGGAGAAGAGGAACTGAGATTTTGCGAGGCCAAGGCACTTGCCCAAAGCTCCAGCGGAGCTGCCACACAAGCCCATATCTGTGTGACCCCGAAGCCCACGCTCCCTCCGTCTGGTCAGGCCGCTCCCAACAACAGGCAACCTGGGGCATCGGCACACATCCGAATTTACAAAACACTCTCAGCTACAGTGGCCCTGACAGTCACCAGCCCACAGCAGCCCCACAGACAGGATTACGTTGCCACCTTGCAGATACAGATGCAGCAGCTGACGCTGGGCGGCTGACGGACCTGATGGGGTCACACGTTACAGGCAGCGGAGGCGAACCACAGCCAGGTCTCCTGACAGCTGGGCCCGGGTCTTTTGCCCCAGGCAACCCCTCCTGGCACCCCAGCACCCATTAATGCCGAGTCTGGTCTTGGCAGCCCGCCTCCTTGGCATTGCCAGGAGGCATCTTCTCTGTAGGAGATGAGAGGGATAAGAGGGTGCCGGGCCAGCCCCGACCCTGAGCCACGCCCCCTCTGGAACACCTGCCAGGTACCAGCTGTCTGAGTGCCATGCTTTCAGGAGAGAGCCACCAGGCCCAGCTATCTCTCAGACCTAAAACAAGTGTCATGGGCCCCCGTGCAGTACTCCTGTGATACTATGGGGGTGAGAGAACAGGGGGGACATTTCTGGTAAGAGGTCAGGTCATCCCCCTGAGAGAAGCTGGCCTTTGTCAGTCACAGCGTTAGTCACCCAGGGACCCAACCATAGCCAGGAAGATCTGGGTCCCCGGGGTGCAGGGGGTGGGGCACACGGTGTCTCCCACTGTTCAGCAAGCCCCCGCCTCACGCGAGGCCCTGCTGGTGGCCTGCCGCATCAGCTGTCCCAGGGCTGAGGCTGTACTGGAGCCAGCCAGGACTGGCTCTCCAAAGCTGATTACGCACGACTAGTCCCAACTGCGCCTTCAGGGATGTCAGGCCGGTAGCTTGAAATTGGCCACGATAGGGGCGCCTGGGTGGCGCAGTCGGTTAAGCGTCCGACTTCAGCCAGGTCACGATCTCGCAGTCCGTGAGTTCGAGCCCCGCATCAGGCTCTGGGCTGATGGCTCAGAGCCTGGAGCCTGTTTCCGATTCTGTGTCTCCCTCTCTCTCTGCTCCTCCCCCGTTCATGCTCTGTCTCTCTCTGTCCCAAAAATAAATAAACGTTGAAAAAAAAAAAGAAAAGAAAAAAGAAATTGGCCACGATGGGAGGATTTACACCACAGAAATGGGCAAGCGCTGCAATTCAGGGCCTCCCCGCCTCTGCCAAACCCTGCCCCCCCCCCCCCCCCCCCCGCCCCGGTTAAACATTTACCGGCACGCAGCCAGTTCTAGTGGGCCAGGCCCGGCCTCTGAAGAACAGAACTGTGTTCTTGGCATCTCGCAGACTGCAGTTCAAGCCTCAGCTCTGCTCACATACTGACTCTACACCAGTTCCTGGAGCCTTCTGAACCTCAGCTTCTCTATGTGCTCAGTGATGTTGGGCACATATCACCAGGCCCCTTGAATCTTGGTTTTCCTCCACCAAACGCAGAAGATGAGGCCTATGTTGTGAGCATCAGATAAGATGACACACTTAGAAAGGGACGATAAGGGGGCGCTTGGGTGGCTCAGTCGATTAAGCATCCAACTTTGGTTCAGGTCATGATCTCCCAGTTTGTGAATTCGAGCCCCACATCAGGCTCTGTGCTGACAGCTTGGAGCCTGCTTTGGACTCTGTGTCTCCCTCCCTTTCTGCCCCTCCCCAGCTCACGCTCTCTCTCTCTCAAAAATAAATAAACATTAAAAAGAAAAAAAAAGAAAGGGACGATAAGTTACCATTAGTCTCAACTGTCAGCCAGTGAGCGTCTCCTGATACGCCAAGGAGGCTAAATTCAGGTGTGGACAAACCGACTTCCCAAATCACCAAATTACTTCCCAAATAAAATGTGATGGCCTGCAGCTATCATGAGCATATTTCCAAGCTCATGAAAAATTCCTAGTTTAGGCCTCTGGGCCCTTGGTGTTCCAGGACAGAGTTGCAACTCCAACCCCAACCGATCCCGGAAAAGCACGGTGGGAAAAGAGCAGTTTTATTCCCCAGGATGTGAAACTTGGGCCACGGAGGGCCTGGCACCTCAGCTGCAGGTCAGGGTTGGGGTTTTGGAGGATCTGAGTCAGCTGGGGTGTAGCTGGAGGGTCCTGGCCTGCCGCATGTCCTGGGAGGAGCCCTGGATGGACTCTGGCACCACCATGGTTAGCTGTGTGACTTTGGGCAGATCACTGAGCCTTTCTGAGCTTCAGCTTCCCAATGCTCAAACGGGGAGAGAAATCCCAAGCTGCCACTCAGGGCTGTTGTCAGAAGACTTACTCATAAGCACTTGATAAACTGGGAAGCGCTAAGCAGACAGGTGGTATTATTATGAAAATGCCCATAGATGTGAGGGAAGGAGGCCCTCCAGACTGTCTCCTCCTGCTCCAGGATGCACCATTGTGGACCTCCCATTCATCATTTCCATCCCAGAACAACAGAGCACAGACTTGAGTATTTGGCCACATGTGCCCAGCAAGGAAGACAAGTGGCAGAATTGGAGAGGGTGGTAAAAGTTTGAGACGGTAGGAAAGAATCTGTGCATGGCTTCTAGAAGACTGTCAGTGAGTCAGTCAGTGAGTCAGTTACTGGCCTGACAGCTTGGTGCTGGCTCCCAGAGCATAGGTAGCCCCGATGGGTTTGTCCCAAGACAGTCCCACCCCTAACCCCAACCAGTGGACCCTCACAGCCCTCTTCCTTCCAGACCTGTCCTTCAACAACATCGAGGCCATTGAGGGGCTGGACACACTGGTGAACCTGGAGGACCTGAGCTTGTTCAACAACCGGATCTCCAAGATTGACTCTCTGGATGCCCTCGTCAAGCTACAGGTGTTGTCGCTGGGCAACAACGAGATCAGCCACATGATGAACGTGAGTACTCAGGGGCGGCAGGCGCCAGGACTGGAGTGGCTGCTCTGGCCGCTCCTACTGGCCTCTGGCCCAGGGCAGACCCTGGGTCTGGGCGCCCGAGGGCATTGCAGTAGCTGGGGGTGGGGGAGAAGGGTCTGTCATCTGGG